ATTTGAAATGTTAGTTGTGTTTCATATGTTCATTTGAGTGATCATGTAAGAAACAAACTCGATTCTAAATATTTGAAATGTTATTTTATTGGCTATGGTGGTGATGAGTTTGGATGTAAGAAACAAACTCGATTCTAAATATTTGAAATGTTATTTTATTGGCTATGGTGGTGATGAGTTTGGATATAAGTTCTGGAATGAGCAGAACAAGAAAGTCATCAGAAGCAGAGATGTTGTCTTCAATGAAGCAGTCCTCTACAAAGATCGTGATGTTGTTCAGTCCACTAGTTCGGTACAGTCTGAGCCTGTATACTTCGAGCTGAATGATGTTCCAGATGGGAGCAACCTTGAGGCTAGTTCTGATGAGGCAGAAGCAGTAGCAAAAGAGGTGGAAGAAGAGATGATAGAGGAGATTACTTCAGAGAGGACAGATGCAGATGCAGAGCCTGGTCCACCTGTCAGAGAGTTGAGGCAGACAACTAGAGTATCCAAGCCAAATCCGAAGTATCCATCATTACAGTCCAAGTCTCATTTGAACTACTTATTGTTGAGTGACGATGGAGAGCCAGAAAGCTATGATGAGGCATGTCGAATGGGTGATACGAGCAAATAGGAGTTTGCTATGAAAGATGAGATGAAGTCCTCGAACTCTAACAATACTTGGGAGCTTTCGAAGTTGCCATTGGGAAAGAAAGCCTTGAGTAACAAATAGGTATACAGAATCAAGGAGGAGCATGATTGTTCCAAGAGATACAATGCTAGATTGATGGTCAAAGGGTTTCAACAGAAAGAAGGAGTCGACTACACAGAAATCTTCTCTCATGTAGTCAAATTGAATACTATCAAATCGGTTCTGAGTATTGTTACAGCTGATGATCTACATCTCGAGCAATTAGATGTGAAGACAGCATTCCTCCACGGTGACTTAGAGGAAGAGATATACATGCAGCAACCAGAGGGGTTTACTCAGAAAGGCAAAGAGAAGATAGTGTGCAGATTGAAAAAGAGCTTGTATGGTCTGAAACAAGCTCCAAGGCAAAGGTGCAAAAAGTTTGATGGGTTCATGCAGAGGAATAGATACTCCAGTTGCAATGTTGATCATTGTTGTTTCTTCAAGAGGCTTGACACAAGCTACATTATCTTGCTGCTATACGTCGACGGCATGCTAGTAGCCGGTTCAGATATTGGTGAGATCAAGAAGTTGAAGAAGTAGTTGTCAAGTGAGTTTTACATGAAAGACTTAGGTGCAGCGAAGCAGATTTTAGGGGTGAAGATTAGCAGAGACATGCTTTTAAGCACACTAAGGCTATCTTAGGCCGAGTACATTAGACGGGTGCTTGAGAGGTTTGGGATGAGTGATGCTAAGGCTGTTAGCACACCTTTGGCTAGTCACTTCAGGTTGACTAGAGAGCAGTGCCCAGTGACTAATGAGGAGAAAGACTACATGGTGAAGGTTCCATATGCTTCAGCCATTAGAAGTCTTATGTACGCCATTATGGTGTGTACGAGACCTGACATTGCCTATACAGTGAGAGCTGTGAGTAGATTCATGTCAGATCCAGGAGAACAACACTGGAAAGCAGTAAAGTAGATTATAAGATACCTGCGGGGTACTATAGAGAATTGTTTATGCTTCAAGAGAGGCAAGTTGGGTCTGCAGGGATTTGTTGATGTAGACTTTTCTAGTGAGATAGATCAGAGGAGGAGCACTACTAGGTATGTGTTCACATTGGGTACTACTGCCATCAGTTGGGTCTCCCAGTTACAGAAGATCGTTGCTTTATCGACTACAGAGGCAAAATATGTTCACGTGAAAGAGGCAAGCAAGGAGATGATATAGTTAAAGGGGTTCTTGGAGGAGTTAGGACAAAAAAAAAATAAGAAGAGTGTCTTACACTGTGATAGCCAGGGCGCCATCCATTTGGCAAAGAACCCGGCTTTTCATGCCAGGACCAAGCATATACAGGTTCGTTATCACTTCATAAGGTCAACCTTGGATGATGACGTGTTGGAGCTTGTGAAGATCCAAGGAAGCAAGAACCTGCCTGACATGCTTACGAAGACTGTCACTATGGAGAAACTAAAGTTGTGTTCAACTTTAGTTGGCCTCATTACTTGATAATATGGGAGATCGTCGCCGCAGGGAAATGTCATAAAGAATGAAAGTTAGTCTCCAAGTGGGAGATTGTTAGGCTATATGGAGCCTAACTGTCAGACTCGGCCCTATCCGCTGCATTGAAGAGAAAAACAGGCGAGAACAGGAAAAACGAAGCAGTCAACGTTTTGGGTGCTGGCTGGTCGACCGCGAGGCAAGGTCCGGTCGACCGAAAAACATGCACACTACAGGGTGTGTTTCTGCATTCTGGCCGGTTGACTGCGAGGCTAGTCTCGGTCGACCGCGGACCTTGCAATTAGTTTTCTGAGATTTTGACGTTCTGGTCGGTCGACCGCGCCATTGTTGGCGGTCGATCGTGACTCGGTTTGAGCCTGGGCTCGTTTTCTGGTCTGTTTGAGATTCTTGTTTGTATAAGAACTCCATGTTATAAAAGAGGTGATTAGGGCAGCTTGTAAACTAACCTGAGAATACTTAAACTTTTTTCTTACGGCGGCCGTGGACGTAGCTTCTCTCGTTGAGAAGTGAACCACGTAAAATTCTTTGTGTTCTCTGTGATTATTCTTTTTTCTCTTCCTCATCTCTATTTCCAAATCACAACAGGGGTTAGAAAAGCCAACATGGCATACTTATGTCAATGGTTTGTTCTGGTGCCTCTTCGTCATTGCTATCTAAGGTAATGATTCCTTCTTCAAAAGATTGTTCTCCCTGTTATGAATGATACATATATATTTGTTGAAAATAACATTGAAAATTACTTAAGTGAGTTAAGAAGGAACTAACCAAATCTGATCCCTTGCATATTTGTTTATTTAATTGAGTTAATACTACAGTAAAAGTTACTAATACATTTTTTTTAAATATATATTTTCAGTCAGTGTACCCATAACAAAAACTAAAATCAAACTTTGAAACCAGTTGTCTAAAAAAATGTGTGGCCTGAGACCATCTCCAACCCATTGCACCAAAATGGTGCAAATTTTGCATCAAAATGGTACAAAAGTCACATCAAACAGTAATACATCTCCAACCCATTGTACTATTTTTTGCACCAAAAAAGAATATTCTTAGAATATTCTTAGTTTATTTCCTTTTATCTATTTTTATATTAATTAAGAGGTAAAAATAAATATTTAAAAAAAAATTAAAAAATGAACAGTAATGGGGCGGATGAACAGTGCAACGCCATATTTGATGCAACACTGTTCAACTGCACCAAAATGACGCAAAAAATGGAACTGAGTTGGAGAATGAACAGTGCAACAAAAAGCACTGTTTGCACCATTTTAGTGTTGGGTTGGAGATGCCCTGAGCACTAGTAAGTACGATAGAAGCAAATGATATACTCTTCGGAAATTTGGGTAATATTCGCATTCTCAAAGCAAGGGTTCAAACTTTACCTTTCGATTCTACCCATGTCTATTTTACATATAATTCTCATTTACGTGTACAAGGAGCTTGAACGAAAACTTGCTCAAGCCAATGGTCGACTTGTGCCTATGTCATGTCTATTCTCAATTTCTAATTATTAGGCATCTGTAACGCTTGTGCGATTCACCTTACATGCACTATGAAAGCGATGCCTCGCTGGTACTAAGCCCAGGTGCCTCGGAAAAAAAAAGGGGAAAACGTTCAAGCTTTCTATAATAGCGAAAGCGCATAATAAACAACCAGCCACACACTTAAACTAGGAAATTGGAAAGCCGCCAACATACAACAGGGGTCATCGACTAATATTAGCAGAGTGCGCATAAACCAAACCAAACCCAAGTCAACAGTCAATTCAATTTTTAATTGTTTCTTGTAAGGTTTTAGTTCTTCAAGAAGTAAACTTGTTGCTAACCCACTTGCATTAATTACTCGAATAAAATCACAAATCACGTGCGCGATTGGTTCTCTGCTTTCCTACTACTTCTAATAATAGATTTAAGGAGTTAAATCACTGTACCAATTATTAACAAGATCTCCTTACGTATCTCTGCCCTCTGAAGAGAAGACCATCACAGCGCACATAAATAAGGATTCTATAACATTTAAGACATAAAATCCAAGCAATCCGGATCGTAAGTTCGTGATAGTAGTATGGACTATGGAGTGCTCTTGTCTTGTGGGTTAGTTCAGTCGCTAAGCATGAAAATATGTGAACACATATCCTTCTTCAAAGAACAAAATATCACATCCTATCGTCTGCGCTCTCGTGCTTATTCTACTCACAAATAGTGTAAAGAAATGGACAAATTTTAAAACCGACCTGTTTTGAAACTTATTCTATAAAAAAAGATCCGTTTCAGATTTAATTTCAAAAACCGACTCAGTTTCCAGCCCTGAGACCGAAACTGTGTCGGTTTTTGAAAAAAAAAAGTTCTCAAACTTCACGGGAGTTGAAGCGCCGTGAAGTTTTTTACATAACAAAACTTCACGGGACTTCAACTCCAGTGAAGTTTTGTTATGTAAAAAATTTCATGGGACTTCAACTCCTGTAAAGTTTGGGAACTGTTTTTTCAAAAACCGACCAAGTTTCAGCCTTCGGTTTTTAAAATTAAATCTGAAACGGATCTTTTTTTTGGGATTTTTTTGGGCAAACAAGTCGGTTTTGAAATTTTGTCCTAAAGAAATCATTACTTCTATTCACAATCATCCACTGTTTAATAAAATTATTGCAGTTCATTCCCAATTTTAGCATTTATGCTATCATCATCACTATATCGAACCCATTGTCATTTTTTACTGCTAATCACAACCATCGATTGAACAATATACGGACGGACTGCGATTGAAAGTAGTATTATCTACAATCCAGTCTACATTTTACTCCATTAACCAACAGAAGAGTATATCCATTCTCGCACCTATCATCATTGACCACCACACATTCATATCACTGACAACCACACATTCATATCACGCTTCTTCTTAATCTCTCTCTCTCTCTCTCTCTCTCTCTCTCTCTCTCGTATAGTGTCAAATATCATCTATAGCCACAATGCCAATTTCCTTGGGTGCATTCATAACTCCTCCACAACTTCAACTGAACCGCAATTTTCAGGGCCTTAGCGTTAGATGTCAGTCTTCTCAGCAGAAACCAGCAAGCGGAGGTGGGCATAATGAGCTCCAGATTGGGTCGCCAATCATACTCGTCGAGGCTCCACCGACTCTGAAGACGGCCACTTCAATGCCGTCGCTGAGGGTTAACACCGGAGAAGTGAAGCCTGGTGATGTTGGCAGGTGAGGATTATGAACGCCATATTTGTCGTACAGCGAAGAAAATTTAATGTTTTTCCTTTAGTACTAATCTATATCCGTATAAAGAAGAAAGTTAATGTTCACAGGGACATAAGTATAATTTTGAATGTTGGTGGTTTCCAGCTTATTATTGAGTAAACTTCAATAATCTCATGAACAGTCGTGAGTTTTTTTGCAAGAACTTACTGTAAAATATTTTCAATTTGATTTGCTAACATGAACTTGACTATATTGACAAATAAATCCCAAAACAACATCCTTTGAAGTCTTTCGACATACATGGGAGATATACACTATACTTGAATGCCGATGAGGTTAACTGGCCAAAGGTCTACCATGGGCCACCCATGAAAAATTTATACTTTCGTCACATTTAATTTCAGTTGATTCATTTCGGTCTCACTGAAGGCGAAAGAATGCAAACAAGAAATCTGATGCTACATCCCATTATGGTTTTGCAGAATTGTATCAAGGAAGCCTAAAGATGTATGGGCTGTTCGCCTCGCCATAGGCACTTACCTTATCGATGGCAAGCATTTCCAGCCCTTGGTTCTTGACGAATAAGAAAGCCTGCAACTCGAACAGCAGAAATTTATCACTAACTTGTAATAATGTTTGAATAAATGACAAGCTCTCTATCTTTTGATACTTCAGTTAAAAAATAAAATATACAACATAAATGCATCTAAGTTTCAACGCAAGACTATCAAGAAAGGCCGACAGTTTAACAAATATGCATTGTTTTTCATAACTCAATGTTGATGCTACAAAGAATGATCAGACTAGAAGAATTTATACAACACTCATATAATCCTGGAGTCCAAGGACAGTAATATTTTGATCATATAACCGCACAAACCAACGTCAAGACTTTTCACACCAAACACAGCTTATGAGTTCTTGCTCCATGGTTTAAGCACAGCAACAACAATGATAACGACAATCAGGAGAAGGATGATTATCGCAATGCACATCCACTTGCGCGAGTTTTTCTGCAGGCTCTTTGCCTTCTGAAGCGCTGTGGTTCCAGATTGAATATGGTCTACTGCACTTGAAACCTAATGGAGAGAATAAAGAAAGTGTAAATATTCAAAATGCAAATATAACTTTTTAAGAAATCTCATAAGAAAATAAATAATTATGAGAGAAGAGGGATTTTTCTATACCTGGCTTTCAATGTTGTCTAGCATGTCACCTTGAGCATCAATCAGCACAGCCATGTCAACAAAAATCTGCAGTGGAAATTTGTATTGTTCAGTTTATATCCTTGATAATAGTTCACCGTGATTTCTCTGTTCTCTCCCATTTAACATAACAGACATTAGAGAAAGAAGATAATAAAAGGACATGCAGAAGATGATTATAAAATGCAGTGCTGTTTTGACCTGCTTATTTGCTAATAGAAAGATTTTTTTTGTTACGTGTCAATGTTTTCAAGCCCCAAAAGCAAACAACCTTGACATCAATAACATGCTTGGGGTCCCATTCCTACTGTCTTGGATTGAATAAAAGTTAGTTTGATTTCCTTTTAACGGTGACTTTACCCAACTGAAGCACAATCTCTGCTGCATAATCCACCTTGTACAAAACTTTCATCCTGGATAATCTAAGAGATGTTCTTGTAATACTTCGGTGAAGATATAGCTCTAAATTTTTATTTTGGATTATCTAACTGGTGGACAGAGAAAAATTTTAAAATGATTAACTTTAGGTTGTATGTTGGTGAACGCTACCAGAACGACAGCACAAAAGGAGCTGTTGTTTCTCTTAAGCATAATATTCTAACCAGTACATGCAAATAGTTGGTTAAATTACTATCATATTACGTTAGTGGAAGTATAAATGGAAAAATGTTCCAGTAATATGCTAAAAGTCGCCGCTTAGGCTAATTGTTGGCTTACAACTGTTTTGAGCTCTCTTCAGCATAAAATTCATAGGTTACTGTTGGTCTTTAACCTAGTTCTTGAAAAAACTATATAAATTTAATACCTGCTGCAACTCAAGAAGCTTCCTCTCTAATTCCCTCACGGTGTCATGACGCTCTTGGATCTCAGCAAGAGTGTCCATTACCTGCAAGAGTGAACATAAGGCTGAATGTGGAATAGTCGAAAATCATGAATCTGAAAAGTCTCGACTTTTCTTATTACATTTATTAATTAATGCACAACTAGAGTTAGGACAAACCTGGCCTCGCCCTTGCTCCTGAATTGCTCTCTGAAATATTTGTTCACTGTTCCCTGTCTCTATTAGTTTGTCAACCATCTGCAAACCAATAATTGGTAAGATTTTCTGTGAATTTATGTACAGCTCAAAAGGGCATTCCACTTTCAGAAGGCAGTCCTACCTCTTCATCAGCATGATTACCCGTAACTGTTTAAATAAAAATACAAGAAGAAGAACAATTAGCAGTTACCAACTTAAAAGGCTCTGAAACATTCACCTTACTAGATCCAGGTTCTAACCTGTGTATATCCTTCTCTCAACAACCTCCCGATACTCTTGCTGGATTGCTTCCCTTAAAGTCTGCAGAAAACAAGAGCAATATTAAGGAATAATGTGTCTATATTATTGCTAATAAACAATGTGTTTCAGATCATTGTGATTTTACTTAACCTTCCTAAATGAGAATGAGGATTACATCTAGCATCTTCCATTCAGGTAAAGCTACACCATCAAGCAACAAAAATTCATAGTATTCGGATTGTTAACTTTTGGGTTTCAATTGAAAACTAATTTTTGTCCCTTTTCTTTTAAACTTGCAATTAATACCTATATTCTTCCTAAAAGTTTATAAATAAACTTTTTAGCATGTGTTGGATGAACACACTGCTGACATAGAAATTTTTTACTTTAGGATAGACTTGAAAGATATACGTACAGAATTCATAAATAGCTATATTCTCTTCCTAGAACTTTAAAAATAAACTTTTTAGCATGTGTTGAATGAAAACACTGCTGATATAGAAATTGATACTTTATATAGACTTGAAAGATGTACATACAGAATTCTAAGTATATATAGTGTATTGTATGCTCCACTTTTTAGCAAGTGTTGAATGAAAACACTGCTGATATAGAAATTTATACTTTATATAGACTTGAAAGATGTACATACAGAATTCTTAAGTATATATAGTGTATTGTATGCTCCACTGTTGGACTTTAACTTTGTTGAAGGGTATACTTGAAGACAACTCTGTGCACTTAGTTGTTTCAAATATGTGTGGGAATGGGAATGACAATGATACAAGAATGCATCAATAGGAAAACAGCATGGTACACCAGAGAAGTAAAGACAGAAATGTCTCCATTTGTATGTTCACTCTCATCCTAATAAAGACTATTAACACTAGAAAGTCTATCATAATTCAGATATTACAAGTTTCCAAGTTATATAACTTACACTTCTATGAGAAACCAAAAAAAAGGGAGCTGGAAACGGATTTAGACCTCATTAGAGAGGTCAAACTTTTCAACTCAGAATCTCATTTCTTTATCCCCGAGTCAAGGCAGCAGCATAATGAGAGGAGGCAGTTGCCATAAAAACACTGAACAACGATGAAAAGCACAGAGAATTGTTTTCTTGATTAAAAAATGAATTCTTTTTTGTCTTCTCCTTCATTTCCTTTGTCTTCTTTCTTTTTCCTCTGTGCTCCTTCCCTCTTTTATCCATTGCACATGTTTGGTTACATCATGTCAAACTTCCGGACTAGTAACAAACTTATGATCCTATCACCTGTTTATGCGACTAGTAACAAACTTATGATCCTATCACCTGTTTATGCACTCCTTTCGTAAGCATAAATTTATTTATTTTTTGTGATTTTGTAAATATATGTTTATCTTCCAGCGTGATTTTCTCCATAAACGTGTTGCACACATAGCTGAAAGAAGTTCTTGGACACTAAAACTCCATCATAAATAGATCTTTTATTTTCCTTTTTAGGTCATTAACAAAGTTGAAAGGAAAAAGTTTTCAGTTTCCTTTTGATATTTGTCAGATCAAGCCTGTAAAACATGCTTTGCTTTGATATGAAGACCCTCAAACATCATCAATTTTATAGCATGAGCTACCTTAAAGCAAGTCCATATAACAATTAGGTACCAACTGATCAATGATGCACTATTTCCTAACCCTACTTGCTAATGAATGCTGTAGAGAACAAAAATGATTGAGTACAAATCATTCTTTCATTGTTAGAATACTTTATCTCATGATTGGACATATTTCTTTTGATCATTCATGTTCCTTTTCCCATATGTCACACAATTTTTAATAAAAAAGAATACACACAACAGACAAGCAAATCCAGTGATGAAAAGAATGGGCAGAAAGGTGTACCTGAAATTCAGACATTTTTTCTTTCAGCTTCTTTTTCAATGCTCTGCAGTTGTATTATGCTCAAAATGAGACAGCTGATCTCGTAAGGATAATTTTGATGAATAAGGAAACCATTAATTAAGAAAATTACACAGTAGTTGCAGTTCGAGATCGATCAACAGCAGACCCCTTACCACATCCTGGCTTCTGTCTGTTAATCAAATTCTAATTAGAAAGGGAAAAAACAAAGAGTCAGTGAAAATTTCCCAAAAAAATTGATTTGAAACCTCTTCAGGTGCATTCTTGAAAGTGATTGGAGAATGAAAATACTTCAACAATGATGATGTAATGTAAGTGGTAAATGTGTAAAGTCCTATTGACAAGAAATCTGAAGGAATAAACTGGACAGGAAATTTAAGAAGAGGGGACTCATAGCATGCTGGAAAAATATACAGTAAAAACATGGAAATGAAAGTAGGAGATTACAAATTGAAATCAGTCTTTTATTATGGTACTTCAAACTTCTTCAATCAAGATGGTAAATAGTTAACAAATCTTAGGAATGAATAGAGAACTGCATAGATGACAACTGCCATATGTGGAAAAAAGTGGAAAGGGTCTTTTAATTGGAGAAGTTCTAAAGAAAAGAGAATCAATGTCCAAGATCATATATACTCACCCAAAGAGATCAAATAAAGGGAGGCAGAGAGGAAAACCTTAAAAAGTCTGTTTTCAAAACTGCTCCTCTTACAATCATGATCAGAAATAAATAATAACATACAGAAGAGTTTGAAACAAACAAAACCAGTGTTCAAATAATAATATACAAATCAAATTGGAAGTATGAAAATGAACCTCTTCTTTTCAACAGAAGGGATTTATCCAAGTAGAGACATAGGAGTAGAAAACCATAGGAGTAAGAGAATCCAGATGGTAAATGCTCTATAATTTGAGACAAATTGATAAACCAAACAACAAAAAAGAACTATGCAAACATATTTCATTTACTATCGAAATTGCAAAAATGCAGTTGCTTTTTTATGGTGCTGGCACTCTGTGAAAACAGGTTAGCAAGCATAAGACCTCCAAAGAAAAAACTTACATCTCTGTCCAGTTCTTCTACTTTGGCTTTTGTTATGCGTGCTATTTTTCCCACTTCATCAATATCCTTTTCCATGCGCTGCTTGATTGCTGCAACCAAGTCATGGTTCACCAATATTTATATAACATGAGTTTATTAAATCAGTAACCATGAGAGACAAATAATGCCAGAGAGGTTTATATTATCCAAAAAGAATGAAGTTACCCTTCATAGCAGATGCTTTCGTAATAGCCTTGGACTCCTCATTTGCATTCTGAAAAACAAAATCAGTAAGTATTGGGAGAAAGAAAAATAATCCTTGCTCATGGATGCCTTGAAATGTGAACAATTTATGTCACGCCCCGGGCCTGCGAGCCCATTGGAGCGTTGCAAGACGTTGGATCCACTTAGTGTAGCGTGTTGTTTGGCTCAAACAACTGTCAAAATTGACTAGCTGATGCTACACTTGAACCTCATGACTTACCTTATAAACTCCCATCTCTTAGTCACCACTCGATGTGAATAATTAAGGGCATCACAATCACACAACTTTACATTTGCGATGTCCTCATCGCGACAAGACAATTGGTACATCCCGGTATCACCGCTAGGCGACGTAGACTCCAGAGGTGGCTCCTTCGGGCTATAGAGGTGGCTCTCACCGCGCTCATGTTGTGTAGTACTTAGCCCCGCATAGCACTTAGTTCCACATTTCTGGCTGGCAAATTAGTCTGATACCATTTGCCACGTCCCGGGACCACAACCCAGTTGGTGCGTTGCAAGCCGTTGGATCCACTGAGTGTAGCACGTTGTTTGGCTCAAACCACTGCCAAAATCAAAATCGACTTGCCGATGCTACACTTGAACCCCATAACTTATCTTATAAACTCTCTCAACTCTTAGTCTCTACTCAATGTGGAACTACAATTGAGGGCATCACAAGTTATCCCATTAGAAAAGTCATGCCCAGGTCACTAGTAAAGTGCCAATAGGAAGAGACACAAATGCACATGCAACAAGCGGATGTGGGTCGATAAGGAAGGGGAATCGCAAAACGACAATTATGAATCACACATGCACGAACGTGCAAGCACATGTAAGGGGAGAGAGGGGGCATTAAACTGCACATACAAGCACATGCAAGACACACACCCTATGCGCGCACGCACACAGATGTGTGCATGTGTGTGTGGAGAGAGAGGGGGGAGAGAGAGAGAGAGAGAGAGAGAGAGAGAGAGAGATTTAAACCAAGGAAAAACAATGACTACCATGACAGGGTAAAGTAGAGGATTGCATGGACAAGATGGAAAAAAAAATATTTAGTAAGCCATAGATTTAGAGAAATATTTTATTAAGCCCTTATAGACTGTAGCCGTATATTTATGGAAAGAAGAAAAAATGATACCTGAAGTTTTTGCAACTGCGTAGAGAGCTTCTCAATTTGTTTCTCAATGACTTGGACCTAAGACAATAAGAAGAAAGGGTAGTGAATTCAGGAAATGTCAAATGCAAGTATAACCACCAATAAAGATTGATATGATATTCACAGATACCTGCTTAAAAAAACCTTCCATTCCCAGCTCTGCAGAACTTGCAGAAGGCTGCATTCCCATTTCAATATCCGCATCCCCTGAAGGTTGACCACGAGGAAGCTCAAAGGAATCCTATCAAACAACAATTTGAGGGCAACAAAGAGGCAAAAGAATCAAACACCACAGAATTTTTATCGCAGAATGGAGATACTTATATTCCAAGTACTGCCATTGACCAGTTGGAAAATGCTAATTTTATTGCAGTTACTGGCCGAGAATCCATAATTAAGTCCAAGTTTACGAATAGCTGTAAAGCTTAACAGATAGAAGAAAATATTATCAACATGAATGCCAGACACTAAGTCTTCTTTTAAGGATAGTAATGGACATCATGTGATCATGCTACTCTGCATACCATGCTGCAGGTTATCCTTTTGAATCTGGATCCTATAAACACCACTTTCTAAGAATTTCCTTTGGCATATAGTCTAGTCATTGAGTCAAAGTAGGCGATACATTTACTACTTATAATATCATAATCTCAAAATCAACATATTGGATTCGGTGATCAGTTGTTCTTTCATAAAGAGAACTAGGAAATGGTGACTAGCGAGCAAGAAATTGTCAGGGACTTCACTTTCACTCAAAGTTTTAAAACCAATCATGACTTATAACCAATTTATCAAAATATTTGTCAGCAGAAACAGTGGAATTTCTTGTACTAGCAGAAGACTTGGCTTAGATCGTCAGATTTCTTGATCATTAAATTGTTTTTCTTAATACAAAAGCCACAATGGGAGTTCCAACAACTCAATCCCACCCCTTTACCACAACTCAAGTTGTATTGGCAATATCACTACTCGATTAGAGGTTAAGGATTTAAATCATAAAGATCCTTTTATTTCTCTTACTAACTTTAATATAGTATAACCTAATCAATAAAGGTTTCTATGGGTATTATACATAGATACTAGTAACTGCGCACACAATAATGCCCTTGTGAATTAATATCCTACTTTTAAGGATTTGTCATGTAAATTCAATCACAAAAGTTATGAGTTATTAAAATGAAATATTGCTTAGCACTTATAAATAAATTTAATTTATTTGATTAATGAACCAAACAAAAGTCAATTAGTTGGATGTGGACACGACGTATTTTTTATTCTCGAATGAGTTGATGCCCTTTACTGACTATATGGGATCAATGTGATGTCTTGCAGTGCTAGATATGCATATGAACACAGTGGCTCAATTTAATTGACAAGGTTTTCTACTTGAAACTCAATAAGAAAGTTTACAACTGATCATATTTTGAGATCAGAAGATATAATCCAATTCCAATAAGCTACGGTGCCGTTTGCCAGAGATTCCGCATTATTTTAGTCCTCTTTATGCTTCGTATCTCTATAAGCCTTGGCATTTTCAAAAACCCATTCAAATTCTTCATAATAGATTCATTAAAAAAAATGTGGAACTGACACATTATGGCCCACAAATGGAATTCAGTTCCACGTGAACATGTTCAGTCATAATGTAAATGGATCATGGAAGTATATCGTAATAACTTCCAAATCTACGATATATTATATCAGGCCCTTAGTCAAATGCATGTTTTCACTAGACTAACAAGTAACAAGCACTAAACACGGGCAAACAACATGGCTAGGGCATCACATTACAAGGCAAATTCTAAGCAATAGAACGAGTATTACAGGCATGGCTTATCAATACAAAATTTGCATGACATCATCTTCGAATCATGGTTTCACAATTTGCATTTTTAAATCATGGTTTCACAAAATTTGATGGTGTACCAATTCACTTTCGTCCTTTTCATTTATCCTGTCTTTCTCCTGATAAATCCCTAGCATCTAGCTTGCTAATTGTGTTTATCATTCAGAACAAGATTCCAGAATATACTTCAAGAAATGAATAATAACAAGTAACTACAGACATCAAGCATATCTCACAACAATCTGCAGCTAAGCCCAATAATATAATCTACAAGAGTAGCCACTCGTTTACAAGCCCCAAAAAATTACAGACTAAAACCAAGAAGGATTCACCCTTCTAGCGTTTGTGCTATTTTAAGCATTTACTTCTGCAACTTCGAAACAACCAATTTTAAACTATTTTATTTTGACTAAATAATATCGACCTAGTCTAAGAGTATAATCCACAAGCAGATATGTAAACCCTAGCAAGCTAAATTTAGAGTGTTTCTTGTTGTTGAGTTTGTTGTTGAGGTGATTAATATGTGAGTATAGTCCCACATCGGATAAGATAAGAAAAAATGATGAGTTTAAATAGGAGTTTGGGTCAATACCTGATAGTTTTGGGTTAAAATTGATTCCTAACTTCTGTTTAACACCCATCAACTCTAGATTAAGCTCGATTTCTCCCCCAACAAGTGGTACCAGAGCTAAGGTCATGATCCAAGTAATTTAAAAAAAATAGATGATCTTCGATGTGAAGCCCGAAGATGTTGGGAAAATCCATGGATGCCCGTAGGAGTGATATAGTCTAGTTAGCCACCATGAGTGAAGTGGTGAAAGTTCCTTTTGAGTTAAAATTGATTCCTAACTTCTGTTTAAAACCCATCAACTCAAGATTAGGCTCGATTTCTCCCCCAACAAGTGGTATCAGAGTTAAGGTCATGATCCAAGTAATTTAAAAAAATCGATGATCTTCGATGTGAAGCCCGAAGATGTTGGGAAAATCCACGGATGCACGTAGGAGGATATAGTCTAGTTAGCCATCATGAGTGAAGTGGTGAAAGTTCCTATGGATTTTTAATAGCTATGTGTTGAATACATTGTCTGGTTAGCCCACGAGAAGAGTAGTGCAAAAGTTTATGAATTGGTTAGCCTACGAGTGAAGTGGCGTAAAAATTTAGTGAATTCCGTGGAAGATTGAATTATAGTTGAATTGAAATATACTCAAGAATTAATGGAGAGTTGTTGAGATGACTAATATGTGAATATAGTCCGGATAAGATAATAAAGAAAGAGTGATAAGTTTAAATTACTTGGATTAAAATTGGTTAATACATGATAACTATAGCTTTTTGGATTAAAATTGATTCTTAACTTCTGTTTAAGCTATCAACTCTAGATTGGACCCGATTTCTGCCCCCAACATCT